TTTGTTTATTTCCTCAAAAAAAATTTTTTCCAACTTTTAGCAAGCTCTAAAAACTTATACAATTCTTCAACAATATGAAAAAGAGAATCCTGCTATTAGCAGACGCCCTACAAGTAGAGGAGCTACAACAACAACTAATAATAATATTAATGGAATAAATGAAAATGGAACAGCATTAACAACAAATGGTATTGGTGGGGCAGCTACATGTTCAACAACAACCCCTTCACCTGGTTCTTCTACTCCTAGCTCTTTTAATTCTCAAACTACGGTGTGAAAAAAAAATTGGGGGAGATCTTTTAAAAAAATTATTTTTTGAAGGTAACATTACCGTTAGAGGTGTACAATAGCATGTTTCAACAAATTAAAATTCTTAATCATTTAATGTGGGCAGATAAGTTGTGGAATGATGCGGAATCTCATGCTCCACAAGAATGTAAAGGTGTGGTTATATTTGTTTTTAATTTTGGAGAGTCTGAAACGTGAAAAAATTATCACTCGTTTATTCAATGTACTTCTAAATTGTTAACCCCCTTGGGATCGATTCATTGGATCGATTCAAGGATAAAATTTTAATTGAATGTTGGAATGATGCGGAATCTGTTGACAATGTTTGGGAAATTTATTTTTGTAAAGTCATCCGGATTAAATTCCTGTTATAACATTCAATTCACTTCCCGTTTCAGTCGTTAGAGCACTTGAATGCGTTGAGCAAAGCGCCTAGCATAAATTGCCTGGGTTCACAGGTTCGATTCCTGTTCGGTTACTAAACATTCTTTTTTTTAATAATTGACTCGTGATATTATATGTTAAAATTTCGTGTTATTCGATCGTTGGATGGGATATATTCAAAATAACAGTCTACTAAAAAAATTTTTTTTGTTAGAATTTTTTGAACGAGTTACCAATTTATGTTGTGGATTAAACCAAACCTCTGGATTGTCTACTATCGCAAAGTTTTTGCTAACTACCGTCCAATGTTTGAAAAAAGAATACGGGGATAAGACTTGAATTTAAAAAAATTAAAAGTAAATATATTTGCCAGAAGCGGGGCATTTTGCGTAAATAAAAACAACAACAAAAACAAGTACCACGGGTCTTTCACCTCTAAAAAAATAATCCCTCATTTTATATTAAATTTATTTTGATTTTTCTTTTAATTGCCGTTTTATTTTTTATATTGTGGATTTAATTTAGTTTTTGATTAATTTTTGTTTTTTAAAATGTTGGGAATGTCCGGGTTTTGTTTTTGGGTGAGATTTAAAATAAAAATTCGACTCTCTGAAACCTTTATCTACATATTCCAGTAATCTACCGATTTTCTGTCCAAACCAGAATTGGACGACTGATTGTTCAACAGAATGTTCAAAAGTCTTAAAAAGCTCTATAAACGAAATTTCGAGACAGTTTTGGTTCGAAATAAGCAAATCCTTTCGTTAACATTCCTGAGGTATGAAATTCTCGAATTTTCATAATTTTGGGGTATACATATCATTTTCTCTAAAATTCTGAGAAAATTTCTTTATCCTTTCTAGCCCTTTTCTTCTATTTTTGTCAAACATAAATAAAAAATAAATAAAACGGCAATTAATTAATTAAAAAAAGATATATAATCAGATTCATTTATTTTTATTCTCATCCCTCTCTAATCCTAACCGCAATTTTCTTAGTACAATCGAATAGGTAAATAAAAGTAGAGATATTTTGCTTATCAAATCCTCAAAAATTTATTTTTATTTGTTTTTTTCTCATTATTTGTATTCAAGCTGGTGATTATTTTTTATATAAAATTAAATTTTTATTATTATTTTTCTAAATGCAAAATATATTTATGGTTATTTACTAAATACTACATACACCCCGTTGTTATTTTTGCTTTTACTTTGGAGAGAGCGGATTTTTAAGTTGTGTAAATTAGTTTGAATTAAAGGGGATTGATAGTTTAATATCTATCACTTTGATTTTTAAAAGTCGAACTGAGTATTAATTCTGAATTTAAGGTCCGGCGAGAGTAATCTCTAATAGAGATGGAGCCCGGCATTGACTATTACTTGGATCTCACTTTCCAAGTCTCAATCATTTTTGAAATGCCTGGGTTATTCCGGAGGTCTAGAGTCACGATCCGGCCACGGTCAATGAACTCCCATGATTCTTTTTAAATACCCAATCCCATTCTTCAAATCCATTAAACAAAAAAGCCTAAAAATCCGCTCTTTGCTTTTTTAAATAAAATAAAATGTTTGTTTATATTAATGCCTTTTTTAATCCATATATGGTCAATTTAGTTGTTTTAAGAAAATATCATCGCTTTTTTAAAAATTACTCTCAAAAATCCATCCAAATATTCCTCTTATAGAATGCGATATAATAAAAGTATTTTTATGCTATAAAAATAAAATTGGTGATATAGAAGAAGAATTTTTTTGATTTTTTATGTAAGGGACTAGTGAAATAGGTTATAAGGTTTTTAAAGGCAACTTGAAAGAATTTTTTGGCCATTTTTTATTTTAATTTTGACTAGAAACGAGTGCCTCGTTGAGTTTGGTCTAAATTTTAGTAAAATTTAATTTTTTAGAGAATTTTACATACTCCATTCATCCAACGTTGACATTGAGCGGGATAAGGGGTCGTTGGGGCTAGTTAAGTGTGCGTCTAGTACTTTCTGAAAAATCCAAGTTTAAACTTGAGTTTATAAGTTTACACTTAACTTTTTCAAATTAAAGTTTTATTTACTAAAGTTTTCAAGTTTATTAATATTTTTCGGCAAGTTTTAGTAATATTCAAGTTTTAAGTTAAATTTAAGTTTAATATATTCAAGTTTAATATATTCAAGTTTGAATGTTCAATATATCATCTATTAAGGTTTTATATTAACCAATTTTTATATTAAAGTTTTAATAACTCAAGTTTATTATTTTAACATCTAAAAGGCTTGAAATAGAAAACTTGCCTGATAGCGCAGTTTACAAGCCGCCTCAATTGTCTTTGCTAATGAATTTGCTGAAGGTTCGGTATGGAAGACATAACAAATAAAATGATCAGCGGATTGAGCTACTATGAAGGCGCAGTGTCTTAAAAAAGAAAAATATTTTATTTTTGTGTCTTCTTGAAATTTTTCAATTTTTACTTTGTATCCCTTCCAATTCCCAAAAAGGAGAGGTAACGAACACGACATGAAGCAATTTGTCTTTTAACACCTTTGGCTTCAAATATGGCTATAACTGAGGGAGATATGTGGACATCTACAAGAGTCCAGCGTTCTTGTCGTACTTCTTTTAGTAGTCGATCAACTGCTTCGTTGAGCATTTCTATTCCAGTAGCACGGGGTACTTAATATTAAATAAATAGATTAACCCTTGCTTCTTTACTAACCTTGAGTTACTCCAATAAAATGGCAACGAATAATTTTTTTCTGTTCTTCAATTGGGGAGGGAAGTATAGGGGTTGATTGCCCTGAAAAATAATTAAACTTGGAAAAAAGTTGGTATTTTAATGTTTTTATTCAAGTTTATTTTTATTCCAAGTTTTGTATATTCGTTTATTTCTATTCAAGTTTTATATATCCAATCAAGTTTATTTTTATAAATTCAAGTTTTATTTTTTCAAGTTTATTTTTCTCAAGTTTCATAAATTCAAGTTTATTTTCTTACGCGTTATTCTTCTTAAACCACCATTAAGTGAACTAGGCCTTGGCTGGCTTCTTTGTCTGATTAAAGTATTACAAACATTCCCCAAAGCCTCTGCCACTGCATTAGCAGGTTGATCGCACCGGAATACATGACAAAGCAAACGGCCTTTGTCCAGAGCAACAAAAGTGAATTCCCTTTAAATATTTACAACTTGTTTTATTTAGAGTTTATTTTTAATGTTTTCAAGTTTGGTTTTAAACAAACAAGTTTATTTTTCATATAAACAAGTTTATTTTTAAACAAACAAGTTTATTTTTAAATAAACAAGTTTGTCTTTATAAAAACATGTTTTTCCGAGTTGCATGTAAATATACCTATTCAAGTTTATGATATGTATTTCCCCAAGTTTGTTTTAATATTTTAATTAAATGCCTTGGATTCTCTCTTCCAACAGCCCAACAACGAATTCTGCTAATAGGCTGTTTTGTTACTAACAATTCCCTTTCTCCACCTCTATCTTTTATCTCTCCATTCGTTTTTTGAACTTCTACTCCATCAGGTAAAATCGCCAAAATAGCTTCTTTTCCAACTTCATTTCGTAAACGAGTTATTGCATTATTTAAGCTTGCTTGACTAGTTTCGACTCCTTCTAGTTCTGATTCTTTTAATTCTAAATGACCAAGGTAACGGACATTGAATTGACTTGATGGCTGTTAAAATATGTAGAAAATTGTGGGCATTTTTAATGCAAATTCATCATCTTTGGAGGTTCTCATCCCATCTCCTCCCACCTATTCCACCATCTCCCTTACCCCTCCCACATATCCCATATATCTGTTTTACCTCTACAACACATATCCTTCTTATCCCTTCAATCATCATATCTCACCTCCAGATTATCCCAGGTCAACTTATCCCTCCCACATATCCCATCTGTCCATCTCCTACATAGCCCTCTTACCTATCCCATATCTGTCTTATCCTTTCAACACATGTATTTATTCAACTTATACCTTATCTTATCCATATCTTATATCTTATCCCTTCAACTCTTATCATATCACATCTTAATTTATCCTAAGTTTCATCCTATCCTTTCAACCTATCCCATCACCTACATTATTATCCCATATATCCCCAACTTCCAGTTATTTCAAATCTTCTAGCTATCCCTATGATTATAACATAAAGATTCATCCTCTTTTATTCAACCTACATAATCTATAGCCTCTTTATCTTTAAATTCTTCTTCTTCAGCTAAATCAACTCTCTTTTTGGTTGTTGTTTGTCTAAAAGCATGTTCTTCAATTATAGGCTGTCTAACTGGTTCTTCTTGTATTGTTGTTTGTTGTGCTGTGTCTGTAGTAGAAATTATTGGGGGAGAAGGGATTGGGGGCTTTTCTTGTATTGGGGAGGGAATTGGCTACAAAAATTAAATTTAAATATTTTTAAATTTATTTTTGCCTCTTCCAGTCGTTGTGGAGGTTGTGGTCGTTTTTCTTCTTCTAAACGGGGTCCGCTATCAACATGCCAATAATGGGAGAAGGCGGAAGGGTCTAAAAATTGGGGGAAAGTATAGAAATAGGGGAATGATATGTTTTTTGAGTGATTATGGCAGAAAATAATTTAGGTAATATTTAGTTGAGGGCACCCAATAAACATCTTATAACAACTACCTATAATTATTTTCCTCAAAACTATCCTCTGCCAACATAATAGTAACTACCATATTTCTTCTAATAGTGCGACCGGTCGGTTTATTTTTCGACCATCCTCTAGGGGGTTATTAGAAGGGGACGGTCTACTAAAGAGAGTCGTACTATCAGAAGAAATACGGTATACATTGATGTTTAGAATGTGGCACAGGACATGACCCTTCAGGTTCAATAAACTTTTGTTTTGTTCGGAAATGACAGTCTGTAAATGTTGAAAGTCTTCTTAGACTTTCAAAAAGGGTTCAACCTTTTTAGGCATTTTTGTCTTTTAGAATACAAAATCTCATAAAATTTCTTGAGGTAAACTAAATATTCTTCTCACCTTCACTTATTCTGATGGGCGAATAGACAGGGCCTTGTTGCTCTTCTTCCACCTCCAATTCTTCCCCATGTTCCCCTCTCGGAACAAAATGTACACCACTATCGGGCGAAAGAAATTGGGGAGGACCGGGCGGTTGCCTTTCCTCCTCTTCTGTTATCCACTAAAAATTTTCTTTTTAAAAATTATTCAAAAATTTCCAAACATGCTCCTCTTCTTCCTCCTCTTCCAAAACATAATCAACAGGTGGAGGTAATCTAGCTGGTTCTTGCTCGGCATTTTTTAATTGGTCCAGTTGCCAATAGAAAGAATAAGGGTCTCGATGTTCTGTTATCTAATTAGGGAAAGTTTATAAGATAGGAAGGATTGTAGTTAAAAAAGTATAGGAAAATAGTCGGTAAAACCAATCGACTCCTAATTATGTTGGAAGAGCCAAAATTCTCTCCAACTTCATAAATACCCCTTTTGCTCTCCCTTTTCCTATAAAACACCATATCTTTTCTGGATCATTTATTAAGACCCAAGTTAGACATCCCGAGTGATCACAAGATTTCCAACATGCTAGAGAGATATCCCTTACATTTTTTCTTTGAAAGGAAATCTACTCCAAAGCTAGGATGATTTTCATGAGATATTCCGAGGGAAATGCGCTAATTTTATTTGACCAGAAAAACTTACAACAGTTGTATCCCCAATCCTCCTAACACGTCTTAATCTGTCTGGAGGCCCTCTAAAATTTTGTTGTCGAGCAGCAGCTTCTTCTATAGCTGCCCTAGCATGTTGAAAATCGCTAGAACTATAATCTACTTCACTTTGTTGACCTTCTTCTCTTCTTTCCCATCCTCCTCCTTCCCTTCTTCTTCCTCCTCCACCGCTAGTTGTTGTTGACATTGGCCGACGACCGTTATTATTGACTTGCTTTAAAATTTGTTTTAAATTTATTTTTTATTAATCTGCCCATATTCCCACTTATCCCAGACTGAAAATATTACAATTCTGAGGGGTACACCCCAACGTACCGCACAACTATAACTTTGTTCAAAATGGAGTAAAGCAGCTGGGCTAGTTATTTCTTTCCTTTAGCTAGTGCAAAAGGTTAATTGGCGGCTGGGAGCGAACCAGCATCTTCAGTAGACCGGACTGATGTGTTAGCCATTACACCACGCCGCCTACTGCATAGCCTTAGGAATTAAATAGCTATATGCTTTACAATGGTCGAATTCGGGACGCCCTGATATGGTTCGATTCAGCTCTTCAAGATGCATTGAACCATACCAAGGCGTCCCGGATTCGACTATTTTGAACGAAGCTGTAGCTCTGCGGTACGTTAACCTGCTCCCAATTCTGAGTTGGTCCTAAAGGTGGGATAATTGAGAGAGTTTGTGGAATATTTGGCAAAATTAAAAAAAAAATTTTGAAGACAAAATAAAGGTTTTAAAAGGGAATGAAAAATTGAGAAAATAAATGATGGGCTATAAAAGGAAGAAAAAAATATATTTATTGAATAAAGAGCCAAGAAAAAATAAAAAGCGGCAACAAATAAGTATTAAATTTTAGGGCAAAGGGAATTTTCCGATATATATTTATTTCTTAAAAAATTTGAAAAAAAAGAGGAGATGAAAGGATGGAATGAAAAAAAAAGTCAATTTTATTTGTTGTTTCCTTTTCTAGAAAAAAATATTTTTGGGTTTTTGGATGACAATTTTTTTGAAAATTTTCAAAAAAAATTTTACATAAGAAACGTGGAGATGGCGGACCACAAGAATACTTGATAAGGGTATATTAAGATTTTCAAAAATGAAAACTTCTTTTCATGAAAAATTTGTATAAATATTCCCTATAATATTGTCTATAGTTTCTAAAATTTCAGAATCTTTGGTTAAGTTCTTAAGTAGTGTTGTTGGCAACCGGTTATTAACCGGTACCCCCGGTTTGCGGTTAATCTAAATTTTAGAAACCCGGTTTTCGGTTTTGCAAATACCAGTTTTATTTTGGAGGAATTTTTAATAAAATCACTCATTTCCACAAATTTCCGGTTTTCGGTTTTTGAAATTTTCTAAAAACGGTTAATTTTTGGCAAAAAATTTCAAAAATTCAGGTTTTAAAACGCCAACAACTCTATTCTTAAAGGTCGTTCTGAATAAAAAATAACAAATTCTAGCTTCTTTTTACCCATAAATTTTGAAATATTTTACCGAAAATTTTAAAATTTTTAAAGGAGCTAGCTAACATCACTAAAGATATTCAGGCAGAATTTAACAGATTCGGGTTCTCACTTTCCTATTTTATCAACACTTGCGCCTAACTTCTACCACGCCCAAATGTTCATTTCCTTAAATAATTTTTTAATATTCTTCCCTTCGAGGCTTATTATATTTTTTAAAGATTTTCAAAGAAAATACTCAAGGGAATGGATAATTGTTGGGAAGATACTATTTAGTTTTGAAGAGAAGAAATGTTATTGGCACTCATTTAAAAATAGGGTAAAATTAAATAAGAAATGGAGTGTAAAATTGAATGAGTAAAAAAGAACGTGGTGCGACACTTGGGGACGGACTTTTGCGGACCGACATTTGAGGATGGACATTTGAGGATTGCGGACCGACATTTGGGGACAGACATTTGAGGATCGAATTTGAGGAATCGACATTTGAGGACCGACATTTGGGGATTGCCATTTGAGTATAAGAATAATTGTATCTTAAAACAGAAATTATCACAAATTATGTACTACGGTGAAGTTGTTGCACAAGCGGGGGAAGTTTACTTGTCGGTGGGGGATGCTGTTTAAACGACGGGGGAAGTTGTTCAGACAACGAGGAATGTTGTTACAACGACGGGAGAGGTTATTTCAACACGCAGATTACCTTCCACCATTGACGGAAAAAATTCTTGCCATTGACGGAACAACTTCCCCCGTTGTCTGAACAACATCCCCCGTTGTCTCCCCGTTGTCGGAACAACATTCCTCGTTGTCTGAACAACTTCCCCCGTCGTTTAAACAGCATCCCCCACCGACAAGTAAACTTCCCCCGCTTGTGCAACAACTTCACCGTAGTACATAATTTGTGATAATTTCTGTTTTAAGATACAAATATTCTTATACTCAAATGGCAATCCCCAAATGTCGGTCCTCAAATGTCGATTCCTCAAATTCGATCCTCAAATGTCGGTCCCCAAATGTCGGTCCGTAATCCTCAGATGTCCATCCTCAAATGTCGGTCCGCAAAAGTCCGTCCCCAAGTGTCGTATAACCAAAAAGAAAATGAGAATTTACGTTAATTAAAATAATGGTAAAAATAATATTAGAAAATTGCTTGAGAATTAATTAACGAATCTGTGGCAGGCCGAAACTTGCGGACCGAAACTTGCGGGCCCGACGATTTTTTTCAAAACATAGCTCATTCGAAAGAGCTCGGCGAGCTGAGTCGAATGACATCAAAATCATCGTGATTGTACAAGCTTGGACCGTGGCGCGACACATGAGGATATGACTTTTGAGGACCCGACACTTGAGGACCGACTTTTGAGGACGCGACTTTTGAGGATGCGACTCTTGAGGACGCGACCTTTGAGGATGCGACCTTTGGGGATGCGACTTTTGAGGATCAGACATTTGAGGATACTCTAATGTCAAAAAAAATTAGAAAATAAATAATGTTAATTTTATGTTTAAAAAATTTAAATTTTATTATTTTATGGCTTTCTCAAGGCCTAACGAGCAAATAGTGATCATTGATAAATATAATAATTCAGTTTTTGAAGTAGTTGAAATTTTGAAAATTAGTTGAAAATTTTGATGAATTGAATAGTGTTGTCGGTTCCTAGAAATTCTTCGGATATCTGAATCCGAGCCGAAGAATATAACCGAAAATTTTCGAATATCCGGGACCGAACCAAAAATTTTTTCGAGGGTTAAGGAGTTATTAAGGATTAGTGGAGTTGTACATATAAGTGAATTTGTTGGATATAAAAGGTTTGTTATCGGGTGAAAAAAGGGGTCTGGATTGATCAACAGGGATTTAAGTGCTATCAAAGGAGGTTAACCTATTGATCTTTCGATATTACGCTCAAATAAGGATATCAGCGGATTCGAATGGATATCAGAATAATACCTTTATGTCCGGAAGGATATAGAATTAAGAAAGTTTTGGAAGGCTATGGGACTAGATTTTTTCTTTTTTGACACCGCAGGCGAAAATTTTGAGAAATGCCAAGTTTTGTAAGGCCAAATATCCATATATCCAAATACCTGATATATCCCTATACCACTTAATACCCCGATATAAGGCCAAACTCCCTTTATATTCATTTTGACCCTTGAAATTTCCCGATATCACTGAAATGATTATATATAACAATGATCACTATTTGCTCGTTAGGCCTTGAGAAAGGCATAAAATAATAAAATTTAAATTTTTTAAACATAAAATTAACATTATTTATTTTCTAATTTTTTTTGACATTAGAGTATCCTCAAATGTCTGATCCTCAAAAGTCGCATCCCCAAAGGTCGCATCCTCAAAGGTCGCGTCCTCAAGAGTCGCATCCTCAAAAGTCGCGTCCTCAAAGGTCGCGTCCTCAAAAGTCGGTCCTCAAGTGTCGGGTCCTCAAAAGTCATATCCTCAAGTGTCGGGTAGCCGCTTGGACAAAGTTACGATAGAAAAACAAAAACCTAAACCTATTGTCCGCAAAAGTCGGTCCGCAAGTTTCGCACTACCGAATCTGAGCCTCAAAATTTTTACGTTTTCAAACTAGGGTTTGATCCCGACCCCGGTGCAAAAAAATTCCCCGAGTAAAGAGGGGAGGAAAGAGAGGGCCCCCGAGGAGAGAGAGGGCCCCAGTTCCCGTAAACTCAGCCCCGCCTCGTAATATCGAACCATACTATTTCAAACCTCTTTAATACTAAAAACTACTGTGTAGTCAACACTAGTGCTGGCTATTTGCCATTTGTTGGCTCCGGCTCCTGGCTCCGGGGTTTCAAATTCTTGGCTCCGGCTCCAGCTCCGGCTCCGGGGTTTCCAAAATCTTAGCTCCGGCTCCGGCTCCGGCTCCGCCGGAGCCGGCTCCGGAGCCGGGCTCCGGAGCTAGCTCCCGGAGCCATACCCAGCACTGGTCAACACTATTCAACTCTAACCCATCAAAAAACTTTATTTCCCCACCTCAGTAACTCGAATTTGAGCAACGTCTTCAGCAAATAATTCTTTAGGTTCGTCCCTCTCGTGTTGTCTTCGACTCCCACCCACCCCAGCAATGCCAATGCTATCTGCAGTTCTTCTACCTGATCTTTCGTTTTGACGTAATCTATCGTCGTTCTAAAAGGATAAAATTAAAATAGCCTTTTTATCCTTCCCATCCAATTCTCTTATCCCACACTAATTCAAAGGCTACCCTACAACTCATCCAATCCTTAACTCATCTAACACTTAACTCATCCACACGGCCAAAAACGCTCAACTCATCCAATCCTCAACTCATCTAATGTTTAACTCATCCACACGCCCAAAAACGCTCAACTCATCCAATCCTCAACTCATCTAATGCTTAACTCATCCACACGCCCAAAAACGCTCAACTCATCCAATCCTTGAAATATCGGCCGGTTGAGTCCCTAGCCGGTTGAGTCCCTGGTCAGTTGAGTCTCAACCGGCCCAAGACTCAACCGGCGGTAATCAACCACTCAAACGGCCGGGACTCAACTGACCAGGGACTTAACCGGCTAGAGACTCAACTGGTCATGGACTCAACTAGCCATGGACTCAACTAGCCATGGACTCAACTGGTCATGGACTCAACTGGTCATGGACTCAACTGGTCATGGACTCAACTGGCCATGGACTCAACTGGTCATGGACCCTACTTACCAGAGACTCAGACGGCGAGAGACTCAAACGGCCGGAGACTCAAACGGCCAGAGACTCAAACGGCCAGGGACTCAGA